AGAAGGATTCTGAAGCCGCACTTGAGCTCAATGGGAAAGTGTGCTGCAATTGATTAACAATGCCTGCTGAGGCCAGGGACTGGGGAGTGGAGAGCACGCCCGCAGCGTCTTTGCCACCACTTGATCAGACAATTAATTATAGTCTGGAAGGGAGAAGGTGTCGTGTGGAACCTGGTTTCGGAGCCTCCAGACCTGTTTTCTTATCTGTAAGAGAGGGGGCTGAGATTGAGAGGCTCTGAGGATCTTCCCTCCCTTAACTCCCACAAGACCGCTCATGCACTTACTGCATGCGGAGTCAGACACAGTGGCTGGCTGCATGGCTGGCTGCATGTGAGGGCACCTGGACTCAGGGTTTGTCTGATGACCGAGGCGCAGGCTGCTGTGATCTACAGGCTGCACCCCCAGGAGCACAAAAGTCCCCTGGAAGACCCTGCTCCTGTCCTCTTTCCAGCATTTCAACCATAGGAGACTGAGATGGGACTCCCCCATCCGGAGCCCCAGTCTTGCAGACACTGCTTTGATCTCTCCCCTGAATGCTCCTCTGGAAAAAAAACACACAATAAAAGGCCCCTGTCTACACCCTATAAATGTGAGCCATTCCTGTTACAGTGGTTGGCATTGTTATGTTTAGGGATGAGAGAGTTTGCCTGGGGTTCCTCAACAGTTTAGCCTGGAAGTTTCACCCCCCACCCCCACCCCACCCCCACACCACCATCAGGAAATTCCTAGAGGTGGAAAATGCCCTTAACACCCAAAGGATCGGATCATAGAGAGCGGAGTGGGAGGGTGGGGTGGTACAGTGACATCAGTCTTCTCATCTGTAAAATGGGACAATGAGAGCGTCAGTCCCTTAGGGAGGCTGTGAGGACTGAAAGAGGCCTCGCACACAGCACCGGCTGCTGTATGTACCACATAAACACGAGCCATTCCCATCGGTGGGCCGTTACTCCGACTGTCAGGGAAGGGGAATCTGCTTGGCACCCCCCAATGCCCAACAGCTGCTGACACCGTTGCTCCCCCTTGGCCTGGATTTGGCTATTTTAACCTCCAGTCCCTTCTCTTTCACGCACACCCTCTGCCCAGCCCCGGGTGACATCTGATTTCCTCCATTTGGGACATTCCAGTTTCTTTCTTTACAGCAAGCAAATCAAGCAACAGGCAGCTGGAGCGCTCATTAAGGGTCCCAGCCCAGGAGAGAGGCACCAACAGGGGAAGAGTTGGGGCCTGAGGTCTGGAAGCCACACTGCCAGCTCCCCACAAGCTGGCGCCCTGCCCCCATGCTCCTCTCTCCCCTCTGAGCCTCCCCTCGGTGGCCAGGCCCCTCAGATCCAGGCCTTCTGCCGGCATCTGCCTCTGGCCGGCCTCCTTTCCAGCTCCTCTCCCACTGGGTTCCCTCAGCCTGGCCTTCCGCCAGCTTCTCAGATTCGTCTCTGCCCAGCAGGCCGCATTCCCTGCTGGGATGGGTGGTATGCACGTGCCCCTGGGTTCCTGCCTCCAGGCCGGACGCCTGGGCTGCATGTCTCACCAGGACGGCCCTGTTCAATGCCCTTCCTCACCTACTCCAAGATAGCTTGCCTGCTCCAGAGCCCAGGGAGCCCTCTGGAAGCCCTCATATGGGCCCGGGACTGGGGCAGGGCCTTTGGTGGCAGCACTTCCTAGGGCATCCTCCCATCTGCCATCTCCCCAGACTCTCCCTATGCGCACCCAAGAGAGGGTCAGAGAAGGAGCCTGAGGTTTGGGGGGGGGGGGGATGGCGTGGCTTGCTGAAGACCACACAGCTGCCAAAGCCCTGTTGGCATCCTGGGTTTGGGGCGCCTGCACTCACAGGGTGCCTGTGTGCCCTTTGGAGCAGGAATTGTCTGTATGTCCATGTCACGGAATCACGCTGCTAAGGAAACCACTTCCCCGGCTCTCCTCTGCCTTTTCTTCTCACTGGGGGCCCCTGGTCCCACTTCTCAGCCTCTCCCCATCCGCACCTTTGCCCTTTGCTCAGACCTGGACGAGCACACCTTTCCTGGCCCAGAAGTAGCTCACTGCTAGGGCAGAGCTGTCCCACAGAACTTTCTCTGATGATGTGTATGCTCTATATCTGCACTGCCCAACTGGTAGCCACTAGCCTTGGGCGTCTCTTGAGCACCGACCTGAAATGTGGCTAGTGTGACAGATCAACTCAATTTTCAATTTTATTTGATTTTAGTTACTGTAATGAGTCATGGTGGAACTGTATTGGACGGTGCAGCCCTTAGAGTATCCCTCCCTGAAGCCTGGGCCCGTAGGCCCCACCCAGGGGGTGTCTTCCAGGGCCACCTCCCCACAGAGGAGGCTGCCCACCACCTCCACCCACAGGACCAGACCTCCCTCTGGCTCCAGGGCCCACTGCTACTGCCCCCAGTTACCCCCCTGCAGCCACTGTCCCCGTTCACCCCATTCTGTCCCTCCCTGCAGCCCAGTCCCAGCCTCAGCCCCCTGTGGCCTGTGCCAGCCTCTTGTCTGGCCTTCCTGCTCTACCCTGCTCTCCCTCCCACTCCAGGTACACAGCCGCCCCCCTCCAGCCCTTCCGTGGCCCTCCCAGTGCTCTCACATAGACCTAACGGTCTCTAAGGAGCCCTGGCTCTCTCCAGCCAGACTTTCCACCTCTCAGTTCCCCAAGGCAAACCCCTCCCTCTGGCTTCCAACCTTCAGAAGCCGTTCCCTTTGCCCCTTGGAACAAGGCCCCTCCACTCATCCCCTTCTGCCTGGAAGTCTCGGAGTCTCCCTTTAAGACTTCGCTTGAAAATCACTTTCCCAGGAAGCCACTGCTGTCAGGTACGCTGCATGTTAATACGTTCCCCAGACCTCCTCCGCTCCCATCACCCTAGCATTTTTCATATGACATGGTCACTGCCCGGTGACCTATTTGTGCCCTATTTGCCTGCGAGTGTAGGAGAGCAGAAGCGTCCCCCCACCCCTCCACACATGCACACACAGTGCCTGAACCACAGCTGGCTCTCAGGAAGCGTTTGCTGACTGACTGACTGACTGAGGATGGACAAAGGAAGGTGGCAGGACACAGTGAAGAGCACTGGAAGTGGGGTCAGGAACTTTGGCTCTAGTTCTGGATCTTGCCATGTGACCGGGGTAACCTACTGCCCCTCCATGGGCCTTAGTTTCCCCATCTGTCAGATGGGGGTCAGTTCAGATGCTCTGGCAGATGAGAGGTCTAGAAGTCAGCGGGTGCACAGGAAGCCACAGTTTGCAGAGGAGGAATCACACTGCCCAGCCCCCAGGCCCCGCGGGCATGAGACTTGACATGGCTAAGTCTCAGGGCGAGGAAGCCACGCTCTGGGGCATGCCCTGGCCAACAGCAGGGGACAGGGAGGGGAGAGGGTGGAGAGAGGCACTGAGCTGAGCTTCCAGGGTCAGATCCTTGCCCCTCAGCAGCCAGGGCCCCTGAGATACATGGGGGGAGCCCTCACTGCCCCGACACCATCTCCACCACCCAGCCAGCCCTGCGTGCATTCTCAGACAGCTGACAGAGGCCGCTGGCTCAGGCAGTTGAGCCCAGACACTTCCCAGGGGACTTGTGGGTGGCCTGCCAGAGTCCTGGTCCCCTGGGTCCTGGCAGGGCATGGGAATGAGCTGCTGGCAGCAGCCATGGGTGCACGTCTGGTATCAGTAAACTTGCACTGGGGCCACCCTCTCTGGTCCTGTGACCTTCATCTCCTTGACCACACCAGAGACCCTGCTTTGGCAACTCTCAGCCTTCGCCTGGTAGTGGAACCGCAGAGGAGCCGGCTGTAGGGAAGTGGAGCGTCGTGCCAGAATGGCCACGACCCCAAGCTGGGTTCCAATGCTTGCCACCTGCCATTTCAGGAGCTCAGAGGGGTGAGGGTATTTGCTCCAGGTCACACAGCCTCTAAGTAGCAGTATAGGGATGAAACCACCTCCCTGCTCTTGACTGTTCCACACCACCTCCCAGTAAGTAAGAGGTCCCCTCCAGTTCTCCCACAGGGAAACCCTCCATGGCCAGCCCGTTCCAGGACCTCTTCCCAGACCACTGCAGCTGTCACCTGTGGGTGCTCTCCTTCATTTGAGCCCTGCATCCCTTGTGCCGTCCAGAGCCTCCTAAGTCACCTCCACCAGGAGTCACCCTCCCACTGGCAGGCTCTTCCTCTGGTGGCACCAGTGAGCCTGCAGGTCCTAAGAGTGCCATGGCTAAGAAACGCTAATGGCTTTTAATCCACTTAGGTTCAAGGACATTTCAGATTTCAGAAGGGGGTTAAACTCAGCGTCCTTTCCCCAGAAAAAACACACAAACATAAGATGATGGGGACCATGGATAAGAAACCCGGCTTAGAAACAAGAAGGTGTTTGAACCCAAGGACTGCTGAACCAGGGAGAGCCACACTTGGGTCCCCTAGCGGCCTGGGGCAGTGGGCAGGGACCAGGACACCAGTCCCTGCAAGGACGGCCCCTTCTGTCCCCCTCAGCCCCTTGGATGACTCACTCCCTCACCCGCTCTTCCCGGCTGAACGTGGCAATAAAAATCAGGCAGCGCTGATCCTCAAGGGATGGATGGGGAGGGCCGCGGGGGCCCGGCAAGGCTCAGCCCGGGCCACCGGGCACACATCCCGCCGCGTGGGCGCTGCGCGGCTCTCGCACCGCCTGGCGGGGCGCCGGGAGGGGGAAGTGGGGCCGGGCAGCCTCCGCGCGCCCTGCCTTCCTCCACCTGCCCCGCGCGCCAGGCGCTCTCAGCGCGGGACGCGGGGGGCGCCTGCCGGCGGCGGGGGCGCGGGGATGCCACGCACGCCGCCGGGGTCCTCCGGGTCCCCCGAGTGCCCGGCAGGGCAGCGTCGGTCCCCGCCCCCCCCCCCCCCGCGCCGGCAGACAGCTCCTGCGGGCCCCGCGCGCACCGCACCGCCTGGAGAGCAAGCGCCGGGCCGCGCCCCGGGCCGCGAGTTTGGAGGCTGCGCGAGGGGGCGCCGCGGGAGGGACGCGAGCCAGCAACAAAGAGCACAGACCTCGTCCAGCAGTTGGTTGACTCGTCCCAAAATAGCCGTCTCCATTTGCTGCTCCCCACGCTCCGCTTCCAGGCGCAGCACCCGGGCCTGCAGCTCGGCCGTCCGAAAGTGGGCGAGCAGGCTGAGCGCCAGCGAGCACAGGGCCAGCGCCAGCAGCCCGCACGCCCCCGCGCTGGGCAGCCGCGCGCAGCGCTCCGCCGGCGCCACCGCCAGCGCCCCCGTCGCGGGCGCGCCCGGCTCCCCCGGGCCGCGGGCACCCGCGGCGGCCGCCTTGCGGGCGCGCTCCGCTGCCATGCCCCCGCGTCTTGAGAACCAATAAATAAATAAATAGAATAAATAAAGGCTGGAGCCGCTGCCCGGAGGCGCGATCCGAGCTGCGGGCAGGGGCGGGGGGAAATGTCCCCTCCCTTTGCTCCCGGCAGAGGATGGAAAAATGAGCGGCAGGAGGGGGAGAGCCGGGAAAAACCCGCAGCCGGCGTAATCGGGGTACACCCAGGTGCGCAGAAAGTTCCTTCGCAGAAGGTTCCAAGTCCAGGAAGGTTGGGGGAACGGGGAGGCGCTCCCTCCCCGCCCGGTCTCCCCCTGCGAGCGTCTGCAGCGTCCCGGGGCCGGCGCTGCGCCCTCCGTCCTGCTCGGGGTCTCGCGTCTCGGCGGCGCGCGGGTCTCAGTCCCGGGGCGGAGGGGCGCGCGCGGAGGGCCCCATGGGCAGAGGTGGGTCGTGGCCGCGGCCGAGGAGCGTTGGGGCCGATTCCGGCGCCTCTGTAACTTGACACACGAGCTGCGGCTGAACGGATCGGATGAGCAATCCGTGCTACTTCCCAAACTAATCTCTCCCACCCCCCTCCCTCCTCCTCCTCCTCCTCCTCCTCCCCTCCGCCCCTCCACCTCCTGCGGGGCCGACGGCTTGGATTTATTTATTTATGCAAACTCGCCCGGGGTGGGGGGCGTGGTGTTCTGGGCCCCGCCGCCCCAACCGGCCGGCCCCGGGAGCCCCTCTCCCGCGCTCCCTGTCCCCTTTGAAGTGACACTCGGGGTTATTTATAGGCAGGAAGGGGGTGTGGAGTGGAGCGGGGGCTTTACTTCTCGCCCTTTCTCCGGATTCACACCGAGGGCCCTCTCCGCCTTCCACCCAAGTCATGGGGCCAGGCATCACTCTGCTTTCTGAAAAGTTGTTGAGAGGCAGCCTTCGGGATCCTCCGAGGAGCCTGGCCGTCTTATTGTGGGCCACCTGGATGGATCTCCAGATCCTGAGCAGGACGATCTAAATCCCTTGGGTCACTATTGCTCCCACGTCCACGTGCCTCGGTCCCATCCCCTCCCTCCCATCCCAAGCCAGTTTCACGCTGGGTTCTGAACCTCCTGAGTCCTGCAGCTGCCCCCACCCCCCAGCCTTTGGTGGGGCTCATTCCGCCCACCACATCTTTAACATCTTTCTCTGGGGTGAAAAGACAGTCCTCCAGGGGGCAGCGGAACTGGCCTTCCATTGTTTTCTTCAGGACCCAGACCTAAGGAGGAGACTAAAACTGAGCAGAAAGGTTCATTCCAAGGTACCTGAGAGTCAGGTCCTGATCCTTCCCCTTCCTGCCCGCCACTGATCTGAGACCCCTCCCAAGCCTCTGCTGTCAGAGCAGCCGCCCAAACACCCCAGCCATCAGAGGTAAGCAATGCTGACGGCACTCAGACTCCCTCCCTGTGCAAGAGTCCTTTAGAGCTAACCTCGCTCCCTCCTGTTGTCATTTCTTTGGCTCCAGTAGAGAATAACTGGTGGTCAGAGGGCATTTTGTAGTTTCCTCTCTTGTCGCCTCCCCCACTTTGAGTGATATTGTATCCCTAAAGAACTTATCTCTCTGCACCTCTTGACATTCCTGCAAATGAGGTGGTGGGATTGACTTCCCGGAGAAAGCCTGCGTCCCAGTGACAGTGGGCAGGGGGTGAAAGGCTGGCCTTGGGGATGTGAAATTGCAGGTGGGGGTGACAGGAGTGTTGCGATTCCGTTTTAGAAGAGCATGTGTGCCAATTTCACATTGCATATTGACTTGGTGGGGCCTGATAGCTCATAGAGTATCGGGGCACCCCTAACAGTGTGGCACATATGACAGTAGTGTGGTGACCCAGCGCTCATACGGAATCAAGGCTGTACCGTTGCGGCTGGGTCACTCAGCCCCATGGGGGACCACGGGGATAGAAAGTGATGCTGCGGAAAGCGCCGGTGGCCAGGGGTTCCAGGTCAGTGCCAGCTCTAGCATTTCCTTCCTGTGGGGAACCCCGAGTTTCCCCACTCCTGTTGGAGGTCTCTCCACCGGGCTGTGCAAACAACCCCGGGGCGAACACGCGCGTGTGCGTGACCAGCAGGGGGCGCCAGAGAATTTCTGCACTAAGATAACAGGGATTTGGATCCAGAGATTCAGGGGCTTGGATCCTCTACCTTCTCCCCCTTCCCACTCCCCAGGCTGGTAAGAATGGAAGGACTGAACTGCGGGGCTAGTTCCATTCCTCTTGCATTCCGCAGGCTGATCGTTCCCCCTTTCTGGACGTTCGGAGCCCTCAGGAATGCCAGGGTGGTGAAACCCTTGATTTGGGACTGGAGAATCCTCTGTGGCTGGAAACAAGAAGGAGGTCCAGGGCAAGACTGACCCCAGCATCACAAACATCATGGCTGAGTCTTGGAGGGCTCCAGGGGACTCTAGAGCCCGAGAAACCTGAGTCTAAATCACAGTTGTGTCAAGCTTGGGGGAGCGCAGGTAAAGCACTTAACACCCCACCTGGCACCCAGCAGGCCCTCAGCAATGGTACCTACTACTTCTTTAGGATTCAGGGTTGCTAGTGCCAGCCAACATGCAGCCACTTCTAGGCTCCGGGTTGGGAAACAGAAAGAAACGTCAGCTCCAAGAGGAAGCAAATGAGTCACAGCCTCCATTTCCCATCACTGAGAGCTGAGGGTAGCCGCTGAGTGGGGGACCCTATCCCCAGATGTCCCTTCCCTTCTCTGTGCATGTTCTGGGAAATTCTGCTTTCTAGGGAAGCACTGCTCACCACAGGCACAGACTAACCGGGCTTATCTAGAATGCTCTTTCTGCAGAAGTGGGGACTGGGACCCAGGGGCATGGGGCTGAAAAGACTACTTTCCAGGAGCTCAGAATCCAGGGGAGAAGATTGGATGTGTTTAAAAACAACTGCCACGTGAGGCCCAACAGTGAGAATGCACAGAACAGGGCACGGGCCACAGGAAAGTAATTTGGGGATTCCCAGGAAGAAGGGCAGGGATCCCGTGGCTCAAGAAGAATTTCTTGTTTGTAGCAAGAAGAAGGCTTTCAACGTTAACCCAAAGAGTTTGACTTTGCTCTGCGGCCACGCTTATACTCCCGGAGAAAAACAGATATGCTGGGTATTGGGATAGAAAGCTAAGAAAAAATGCCCCTATGCAGGTGGGCCATGCAGTTCTTAAAGTATTTTCTGTGTTTTTCTGCCTCCAAGTATTTGCTCCTGCTAGACTCCCTGCCAGAAAGTCCCCCCTTCCCTCACCAGCCCTCTGCACCTGAAAGTCCTGTCATTCACTCCAAGGCCGATTTTGGTGCACAAACCCCACTCCTCTTCTCGCTTGTTGGCTTTGACAGCATCGACCTCTCACTTCCTGAGACCCTTATCCCCCCGGCTTCTGGGACCCCGCTGTCTCACCTGCTCTTGTCTCTCCAGCTTGCTTTATTCCTTCCTAAAGATCCTTTTTCCTCTCCCCGGGTGGGCCAACAATTGTGGCAGTCGCAGAACCTCCACTGGGCTATGCTCCCCACAGCTCTTAACCTGACTGCACATCAGAAATCACCTGTAGAGGCCATGGGAGTCTGGACACCTGTGGTTTTATCTCCTGAACTTATTCTCACTTCTCTCCATAACTATGACTCAGTTTCCCCTGGGGGATCCCTTTACTCTCTTCTCTGTCCATGTGGCTCTGATGATATTGACCCCATGCCTGGCTCTTATCTTCTAAGATCGGGAAGGACCAGCTACAGGGGATTTCTTTTTTTTTTTTTTAAGATTTTATTATTTATTCATGAGAGACACAGAGAGAGAGGCAGAGACACAGGCAGAGGGAGAAGCGGGCTCCACGCAGGAAGCCCGATGTAGGACTCCATCCCAGGACTCCGGGATCACGCTGGAGCCAAAGGCAGATGCTCAACTGCTGAACCACCCAGACATCTACAAGGGGATTTCTAAGAGAGTACCAGCCAGAGCTGCAGGAGGCATCATGCCACAATCCATAAAGATCTTGCCTAAAAATGAAGCAAGCATGGAGACGAGCCGAGACTCGGAGAAACTGAGTCCCGAAGGTGTTATTTAAACTCTTGGATCGACTGTGCCTGAAGCTTGCCCATGCCTGCATTTTTCAATTACAGGAGTTGTTGCTGCTCAAGCTAGTTTGAGTTGGGTTTCTTCTCTCAAACGTAAAAGAGCTCAGAGTCACAGATAGGGGCTCCCCACCTTAGAGAGTCAGAAGCCCTTTGTGGTCAGGGTAGGGGCACAGGAAATCCCAGGCTCCCATCCTGTTTATAGAAGTTCCCTGACACTTTGGGATGTGTGTCTGTCCAAGATAGAAAGTCACTGTGCTGAGCACTTCGCTTGGGGCAGACATGTCCCTCCCCAGCTTGGGTTTCAGTGTCAGCTCCCGGATGATGATGACTCTCCAACACAAACCCCTAGCCCACTCCCAGCACTACTCACCCACCTCCAGCTGCTTTCTGGCAGCTCCATGAAGAGCCCCCTCCCCACCAGCTCACCTCACACTCAGCGTCTCCTGTTCTTCCTCCCTCTCATTTCCCTGGCATGTGGCATTGGCATCATCCTGCGGCTCAGGCTGGGTGAGTGCCTTCTCCTCCTTCATTCATTTGGGACCAAGTCCTGTTGATTCCATCTGCTTAATTTCTTTCAGATCTGTTCCTCCTTTTGGATTCCTCCACTCCCACAGGCTGTCCCATGCCTGGCACCTAAACCAATCCAACTTTCTCATATAGTAGTGAGACCGAACCCAAGGAGGCCTGGCCCAGGGCCTGCAAGGATATCCCCCACGCACTACACACTCCCTGATCCTTATTTCTCTCCCAGACTTTATGATCACTGGCATGAACAGTGCTTCTCCTGGCTCCATTTCTGACTCTTGCATGTAGTGAGCAAAAAGATAGAAGGGGCCTGGGCCCCTGGTAGCTTTGTGGGATTGAGTTGTCAGACAAGCCTAGACTTCTTGTGAAGGAGAAGTAACCTGTCTCATTTGAGCCATTGTTATTCAGGCCTGTGTTGTGCAG